GGTGGGGTCACACGTTCGGTTCGAGTCCTGTTTAGCGACTCTGGAGCTCAAAACGCGTCTAGAGTTTTGTCCGCCTCCACCGGTCTTCTGGCCCACTGCGCAGCGGCCCTTGGAGAAAATGCGATACATCATTTTGGCGGAACCGCGGATGCCTTTCCTTTCAGTGAGTTTCCCGCGTGGCGCGCAGCAGCTGTTGCAATGCCGGGGGCGTTTTGACGACTCCCATGTCCGGCATAACGCCGCTATTTACAAGTCACGTTCCGGAAAAAGTGGGATAGTGCCAAGTCCTTGCAACTTACACTGTAAAAAATAATTGTGAATTTACGAAATTTTTTTTTACAAATTCTCTGTAAAGTAACAATAACATTTCGTTATTTTATGAAATTTATTCGTAGAGGCCGTTTTATGAATTATTCATCACAGAATCTTCTTATTTTATGAAATTTGTTCGTGAACACCGCCTTATGGAATGGTACGAACAAATACATCTCAAACGTGACTGAAATACTACAACCCAAAGTCACAAAAACATGAAAAGTTTCCTAAAATTACAACAAATGCTTGGTAATTCCGTTGCACAAATCGCTTGTAGATTACGAGATATGGTGATGCCTTCATCATTTTACAAGATGTTTCATAAAAAAACAAAAACGCTGAAATAAGTTAATCTCCATTTAATCAGCGTGACAAGGTAGAACAAAAGCGGTCCACGTCATTTTTGAGCGTGTAAAGTTTGTAATTTTACAAATTACTGCGTGAAGAATAATTCATAAATCGTTAAGAAACAAAAAGACGTTGTAAATTTACAGATAATTTGTGCAACGAAATTACCCATATATTGTTTGTAAATTTACGAACTAATTTTTTACAGTGTATCAGCATTCATGCAATCAAGGTACTTTAGAACTTAGAAAAGAGGGAGAAACGCACAAATTCAGTCATGGCGACGGCTGCACTGCAAGAGCCTCTACTTATCATTGTCTTTTTTTTTTTTTTAGCGAATGTGACGCCCCTTTTGTTTGAATGTCGATCCGCATATTCAAGTGAGTGCGACATCCTATTTGAACGGCAGTGTCACGTTCAAACAAATGTGACATCGTTTTCAAACCAACGTGACAAAACTCAGATTTCTAATGACGTCACATTCGTGTGGTATTATTTCGGATATTTTAAGTCGATGTCTGTGCCATATTTCATAGTTTTCTATGCAAAAGTTATATACAAAATGTGCAAGTGACTGGCTGGCACCCAGTCAACTTTTTTCGTGCTGTTTTGTAACTCTTTCTCCATTTGAAAGACCCTGGACCCTGAACTTCCGTCAGCTACAATTTTACAAAACTGTGTCAATTTAAAGCTAAAACTGCACTACTTAAAGCCGATTTTCATGGTATTAAAGTATTATAGGTATTATTCTTGTATTATGAGGCTTGTGTATGAAGTTTTATAGGAGTCAGCCCTCCGTGGAGATCGCTTGTTTTGACTTGACCCGGAAAACCCAGGATCCGTTTTTACCTTAGGACACCCCATTGCCCTCCTGCGCCTTGTTTCATTATGCATGTGCAAGTTTTTCCTCGTTTTAACGTCGGCCGAGCGGGCCACTTTCATTACCCGGTTAAATGTAAACGCCCCGCGCGACAGAATCAACATTGGCCAAGCAAAGCCAGTGCCTTAGTCTTCGAGATCAGCGCAGCCAACTTTCCCACGCCACTTCGAACCCAGGGGGATGTCGGGAAGGAAATAATTACTCGGGAAAAAGTAATTTGGGGCGGTTGGTAGTTTGAGCGGGACGCACGCGCGGGGCCGAGCGGACGCGACCGGGCCAGCTCACGTGTGTGTGTGTGTGTGTGTGTGTGTGTATGTGTGTCTCCGCTTGCAAATAATTGATCGGTGGCTGAGCGCTATTAACTAATTATCTGGCCACGTTCCCGATACAACAAAGGTCGTTTTCCTAATTGACCGGTTCCGACCGCCGCCTGGTGCCGCTGGGAGTAATATTTTGAACGCGCCCGCCCATAAAACCTGTCTCCGCGCCTCCATTCATCTCTCTTTATTCCGCCTTGGAAGTCCATAATGGCCGGAGGCCTGGCCGCGCGCTGAGTGCCGATCAGCGAACACGCTCCGTTTCAATTTTTGACCTCCGGCGTTTCCCCGCGACATGATGCTGCACTGTTATTCGATGAATGTGACGTCATGTCCGTACGAAGATGAACCTTATCCCGGACGTTTGAATTAGGGTTGATTCGGGTTTAACATTTAACGGTTTCCCGGTTCAAAAAATCGTTTGTCCGAAACGGTAAAACCCGGTCAAGGAAAAAGAGTCGGATTTACTGTTCCACCAAACCGATTTTTTCGAACCGATTCGTCTTTAAAAGGGAATGAATCATAAAAAATGGGACTTCATCGGTAAAGGCTTCTAAAAGCTGGTAAACTCATTGTAACTTTCAATTTCCACTGAAAATCACTGGATACGGTTAAATATGCCTAATTTACCTTGACCGCCTTGACTTCCTTGAAATGACCAATTACAGAAGTATTGACCACGGTTTCGTCGGTTTACCGGTTTAACTTCGGTATTCGGTGAACCGGTTCAGTTTCTAGGTCTGAACCGGCAGGCCGGTTCTTGAAAAAACCGAACCTGCGAACCGGTATACCGGAAAACCGCCCAGCCCTAGTTTGAATGATGGATGTTTGATTCGTTCGAACGTTAACGTTGACCCACGTTCAAAGGAATGCGATCGTAGTAGGCATGTGCGAATAAGGTCGGTACCGAGTCGAACCGGACTTAATTCGATTTGGAGTCGGATTTGCACTGTTCGATCAAGAACGATTTGAAATTTCGAATCATTCATGATTCGTCTTCGAACTCAGGTGAAAGGTAATGGGAAGTCATAAAACGACTGGGACCGAGGGGGTATCGCTTCTGAACCTTTACCGACTATTAATCGTATTTACGCTCAACGTTAACGACCACAAATTAATGCGAATTTAGGCTATGAATAACGGTCCGTACAAAGTCGAACCGACTAATTCGATATGATGGATTTGCATGTTCGAGTCTATTACGCGATTTATTCGCGTATTATTGATTCGTCTATTACAGATAGAGTGAACCGACTATTACGCGAGTGCATACCCCCCGACTGGGACGTTCGAGTCGTCCTCGAGTCTTTTAACTTATGATTTGAATTCGATTCGGTAACCTTTTCCTGGATTCGATCTGAAAATTAATTTAAGATTCGATTCGAAAATCCATGCCAGGTTCGATGACCAAATTCTAGACAGATGCAGGGGTGTGACAGGCAGGGTTACTTCAGCACTGTTCGGGATTATTTTGTGAAATTACGATTAATTGTCTGCACTCTAAATGTCACTTACAATGTAAACGTGATTGACCTTGTTTTCAGTATTTACGTGAATTACGGCGTCAAGATAATACGAAGCAATATTCTGTAACGAGATACGAATCTGTTAAGCTTTCATTGTAAGATACAAAGAAAAGCCTTCGTAATACGAAGAAAAACCACCTTCGTATTATGCTTGCGCCATTTCCTTCGTATTATGGGAAATTTCTTCGTAAGACATTTAGAGTGTGTAAAATCTGTACCACGAACTGCTCGTAAGTTTCAAAAACGATCTGATCATCCACCTTTTTTTCGTCAATTCACAAAAATATTCTTAAACTTACCAACTTAATCCTCAAATTTTGGTCGTTTCAGGCAATTTTTCTTCCTATATAGTAAGGAAACAACGGACGAAAACGCATGTTTTCAGACTTGCTTTTACAATTATACTTGTAAATAAACGATTTCACCTGTAAATTTAAGAAGCAGTTTGTAAAATGATGAACGATTTGTCAATTTACAATTTACTGTGTAAAAAAACAGTGCAGTTCGTGGTACAGATTTAACAGGCAACTATTCATAAAAGTAAGCTTGATTTGTAAGAAAACAAGTTTACGCGTGAATAGTCGTAAGACAACGATTTTATCAGTAAAACTACGATCTTTCGACAGTAACATTAAGATTTCACCGTAAAATTACGAATTTACTCGTAAATTTATGAGTAAAGTTTGTCAAAAATACGACAATTGTTCATTTCATGATTCTTGTAGTTATTTAACGAATTATTATTTGTAAAATTACAACACTAATTGTTGGGATTACTGTTGTAAAATAACGACTTCTCTTAACAGTGAGGGTTGATTGACAAGGTTTATTTCTTATAAACTGGATTTGGTTTGATTTTCGTCTTGAAGAGCTTTAGCGAGGTAAGAAGGACTCCAAGCATTAGTGCCCTACATGTCTCTAGCGTCGCTGACTCGTGTATTGTCGAGACCCGCTCCATTCACGACCAACAAAGTAAACCAAGCCGCTGGAGGCAAAAAAGACGCCAAGGAAGGGAGAAAAGGACAGTGGGGCAGCAGAGTGAGGGGCGGTACTTAAGCTTTTACGAGTAGGGTGACCACTAGTCGAGGGATGCCTGCAGACACCGCCCGGCCCGGCGCACGCGGTCTCGCGATCACAAGCACGACAAGGCCCCCCTCACAATTCCACCACTATCTGCGTCTCCAGCTTCCTCAACCTATCTCAACGGGGAATTTAAGCCCTTCATTACAGGGTGCGCGTGCAGAGAAGAAAGGGGGAGGGGAGGGAAAGGGGTGGCACGGTTCTCCTTGTCCGTAAAGCATTTGAGTATCGCGGTCGTAACAACAGATCGGTGGGCGTTATGAGGGTCTCCGTAGCTGAAGGCCAATTCCGAACGAGGCTTTCGTCGCTCTGCCTCACTCGCACTCGTGGGGCGTTCCGCACGGGGTGCGAGAGAGACAGAGCGACGAAGCGTGCGGTTTTGGAATCTGGCTGTGCTGGCTCTGGCTTCGGAACCGCGGGAGAGGAGAGGGGGAAAAGAGGGGGAGGGGCGTGATTAGGAACAAGCCTATACATAACGCGGTGCTTCCGCTGCGCCGACCTTCGCGGTGTCTCGGTGCCAAGGGACGGTTGGAGCTGGGGACGCTCTCAGTGGGGAGAGGGGAGGAGGGAGTCGTGTAGGGCCCACGGGGGTGTATCTTCGTTTTTGTCGTGAGGAACCCTGCATCTTTCGAAACGGAACCGACCTAGTTGAAAGGTACTTATCCCTTTGCTCCCAGCCCAAGTGCATCACACCCTAAACCGACGTCCTCCGAAGGTGTAGCCTCGGCGAATCGTACAACCATCCGCAACAAAGCCCATGCAGGTCAGTGAATGTACAAGTTGAACGCAGTGGGTAGACAGTGAGTGGAAGCGTGTGGCGAGCTGCCTTCGAGTCTCTTCACCTTCCGACGCGAAACGTTGCGTATGTCACTGTGAAAATTTGTTGTCACTTTATGACAAAAATATCACTTTCAAATCATGACAATGATCATCACAAATTGATGACATTTTCATCAAAGCCCCTATACTTATTGCATGGGCGAGACTACAATGTCAACAATTTTTTTGATGACGTTGTAAGGAAAATTACACTGAGAGAAAAAAGTACGGAACATGTCTGGTTAATAATTTGCCTGGAACGTCCGTACTTGCCAACTACGGAACGTTCCGTACTTTTTTTTCCGTACCCATTTACATGGGTTCATACGGAGCAAGTACGGAACGTTCCGTACTTTTCTCCGTACCTCCGTACTATGTTTTTCTGTACCATTTCCGTACAAAAGTACGGAATGTTTTACAGTGTAGCCTTGAAATTGTCATCAAGTGACGACTTAAATTTTCACAGTGTAGTTCTCCAACATCCTTAGTGAAAATTACTGCGTAACAACGTGTGTATTACAAACGATTCCTTCGCAGGCCGTGGTTTTCTTTGTATAACAAAGAGCAGTTCTTTGTAGGAATTAGTCTGTGCATATCAAAGAATTTTCAGCACAGAGAAGCTTTGAAGGAAAATTCTTTGAAATTCACGAACTCTTTGTTCGTATACCATGTCAAATATGTTTGTGCTCCATAGACTTCGCATGGTTCCAGCGAGATGAAAGAAAAACTGCCCTCTAAAATTCGAACCGGTATGTTCCTGCATGTGGCTGAGCGCGGCTCGGTGCGGCAGAGTTCGCGCGGGCCGCCGGATTATTGTGGTGATATACCCTCTTACTGCTGCATAATATAAATCGCCAAAGCTTAGTCGGGACGTATTTACTGTGCGAACAGGGCGCCCACATTAATTTTGCGGCGGCGCGCACCTCTCTCTTTCCGAACCCCGCCTGCCCTGCAGACTGACTCCGAGAGTTGTCGCTCTGTCTCTCTCGCACTCGTGGAGCGTCTCGTTTAGATGCAAGAGAGACAGAGCGACGAAAACGACTCTCGGAAGCAGCCTACTGCCAGTGCCTGGTCGCCGAGCTGCCTCGTCCTGCCCCGCCTTACGTCAGCCTGCCCGCCCCGTCCCAGACTCGGGCTGTTTCCGAATACCGCTTCGTCGCTCTGTCTCTCTCGCACTCGAGGTCTCCCCCATGGGTGCGAGAGAGACAGAGCGGCGAAAGCGACTCTCGCAATGAGTCTGCGGCCCGTCGTTGGGCGGCCTTGTCCCCGCCGCGGCCTTGCTGCCTTGCTGAGCTTCCTTAATGCGTCCGAGGCGGACGGGCGGCAAGGGCGGCACCGCACAGTGGGCCAGAAGACCGTTGGAGGGGGTCAAAACTCTAGACGCGTTTGGAGCTCCAGAGTCGTTAAACAGGCCTCGAAACGAACGTGTGATCCCACCAGAGGATTCCTCGTTCGGAGAGCAACCCATTGGTGGGGTCACACGTTTGGTTCGAGTCCCATTTAGCGACTCTGGAGCCCAAAACGCGTCGAGAGTTTTGGCCGCCTCCGCCGGCTTCTGGCCCACTGTGCACCGAGGCCGTTCGCCACACCTTCCCGAAACAAATTCCCTCTTCCCTGTGAAACGCGACACGTGCGGCCCCCGCAGACCGTCTCGCCGTGTACCCCTCCCCTCCCCCCTCCCCTGGTGCTCCTTTTCATTACTTTTCCCCATTTTTGGAGGGCAGTGAAAACGTCCCGGACACCGGCCATGCATTCCTTGGCACCACGGCACCACTGGTAGTCAACGAATGTGATGGCATATTCGTTTGAATGTGAATTTTGTCACATTCGTTTGAATGTTGATTCACGTTCAAACGAATGTGACATCATACTCAAACGAACGTGACAAAATTCACACTGCAACGAATATGACGTCACATTCGTTGGCTACCAGTGACCATGTGCTCTGTTATTCAACGAATGTAACGTCACGTTCGTGACACTGCAAAAGCAGTGGTACGTTTGCTTGCCTAAAATTTGGCAAGCCATTTTGAACGCCTAAACTTGGCAAGCTTAGACCGGAAATCTTTAGAAGCTTGCCGAGTTTTGGCAAGCTGGGGAGTATTTCTGGGCGAAGTTGGCCAATCTTTGGCATTCAAAATGGCTTGCCAAATTTGTGGCAAGTAAACTTGCCTCTGGCTTTGCAGAGTAGCAAATGCATTTTGTCATGATCGTATTTAAATGATGTTCAAAATGTGGCGTCACTTTCGTTGAACAACGGTCTGCCCCCCGTATTCTTATCAGCGAATGGCCTGTGCCTCGGCAGAGGCCTTTCGTGGTCTGTTCCTTATGTCTCGCCGTTCGGTTGTTTTTCTTTTGTACGAGGAGTGTCTTCGTGTAAAATTGTGTACAATGATTGTGGGAATGTTTTAGAATGTGCAAGACTCCTGGTGAATTTGCCTAGGCGTCTTTCTCAGTTTTTGCCGTCTGAAGGTGGAATGTGTTCAAATTTTGTACAGTGAATGTGGAAAGTAATTAACCCCCTCGTTTCTTTTTGTCATTCCAGAGCGCCAAGTAGATCATCTTAGGGACCACGTTTGGAGGACCTGGAGGACCACGCTGCAGGACTCGGTCACAGTGTCGTCGTGCTGCTGAAGTGGGGGATAGTGAGATCGCCGGAGCAGACTGAAATCCCAGGTAAGCAGCAGCTCCTAACCTTACATTATTGGCGAAAATAAATAGTTGAAGATAAAAAATGTTCAACAACCGTAGACCTTGAGTGAGTGCAATTTTCGAGTAAGGGAGGGTGGTGATCCATGACCACTGGGGTTCCATGACCACCCTCTTCATTCTCGGACACTGTTTGACCGACGGCAACCGATCGTCAGGACTTATGAGAGAATCGTTGCTTGCTCAGGGAGCCTAAGAGTCGTAAACTGCACTTTGGGGATCCATGACCACTTTTTTGTGGGATATTTGGGTGTATTTTTTTACTCCTTGGTCTGATTATGATTTACCTTCGTCTAGAAGTTCGCGTTTTGCTCCAGAAGATGGATTAGGGTCGAAAAATAGTCCCAGAGAAGTTAGTTTTCTTACGAATTGTGAATCACATGTAGGATGAAGAAACCCGGGTGGAAAGAAGTTTGGGGGGCATTCCACGTCAAACCATCATAGTCCAAAACGCACTTGCTCAGATCCGGCTCCCAACTTTTTTCTACAGTATCATTGCCTACCACTCAAGGACCACTCATATAATTTTTTTTGAAATTTCAAATAAACTTTCAAAACTTTTTCTTGAGTTTTTTTTTTAATTGTGTCTTTAGGCGCACAAATGGGTTGAAAACAGTAAATGGCAACATGATAAAGTAAGAAACAAGTTTGGGACCCTCAACCTTTGCAAAAAAGAGCGTTTTTGACTAAAATAACGGTTTTATGAATTCTTAAAATACGCCATCTTACTTTTTGACCGTATTGGTATCAAAGGGCCCTGGGGATATTGTCAAAAAACTTTAAAAGTTATCTTAGTGGGTCCTCAAAAATTGACTATATGACACCAATATTGCTCCCGTGCATTAAAATGTTGTCCTAGTGTCTGTCTTAAGACTCTGGAACCATTTCGAGGTCAAGAAATCGGGAGTCGGATCTGGCTGGATTGGATCATGATGGTTTGACGTGGGATGCCCCTTGGTTTTAACTTAGTTTGGACTGTACACTGGTAAAACTAAAGCGTAACTCTATGCTTGAGTCAAGCATAAAGTTACGCTTGAAGACGTTACGCTTGAAATCAAGCATAGGCTAGAAATTCCCCCATGCATTTAGATAGGGGAAATCTTGGAGGATGAGCCTATTACGCTTGATTTCAAGCGTAAACTGATTATACGCTTGAAAACAGTGGGTAATACTACGCTTTAGTTTTACCAGTGTAGTCGTAGACGTAATTCCCGAACTGCAATGCTTTTGCACGGCTATTGAAGGTATTACATAACCCTTTTTATCACTCCAAATTGTATGAAACTTATCACATTAGAAACATCAGTGTTTCTGCGATTCGGGGATCTCAGACTGCTCCAGATTCTGCCGTTTCAATTCACTGAGCATCTTTTTAAAGCCTCTTCTAAGACACAATTGTTTGCGTTGCAGGGCTTCGGGCTGGTCGTCAGCCGTAACTCCTGAACATCGAAGATGCCACACCAATGCACCGTGTGTGCCAAAGTGGTCCGCTCGATGTCGGCCCTGGCACTGCACCTTCGAAGCCACACTGGCGAGAAGCCGTTCGAATGTTCAGTGTGCGTCAAGAAATTTAGTTGCGGTACACATCTTAGAAGGCACCGTCTCACTCACACCGGAGAGAAGCCTTTCGAATGTTTGGTATGCAACAAGAAGTTTACGACGGTTGACAACCTTAAGGGGAGGTTCTGGTGAAAATGCTATCTTCTCCAAAATAGGTCCCACTGTGAAAATTTGTTAAAACTTTGATGTCTTATCAAGTATTTATTAAAAATTTTCATTGGGGAGGCACATTCTATGCCCTGAACCCAGTCCCAGAGCCTTTTTCTCCCATTTAGGCTATAACTTTAAAAATCTTCTTGCGCATACCATTTTGTCGTAAAAGGTTGGCTTAGACATTTTTCACTTCTTCGATTCATTTTTTTAAAATGCCGGCATGCACATCTCAAAATGTCAATTGCATTTTTATTCGCAAGCGTTCTAACCAAGCATTTCACCATAATTGATCAAAAATGTAAAAAATAGACAAATTTTAGGGACTTTTCAGCTTTAAAAGCTAATAACTAATAATATAATGGAAGTTTTGAGCTCTGCATGCCGGAATCTTTTGAAAATGAGTCGAAGAAGTGAAAAATGTCAAGGTCAACCTTTTACGACAAAATAGTATGCGCAAGGAGATATTTTAAGATACAGCCAAATAGGCTCAAAAAGACTTTTCGACTGGGTTTACAGCGTGGCATGTGCCTTCAAAAGTCAAATTTTAGTCTCCTCAATGAAAAAATTTATATTCCGAACAAATTATGACTGTAGGATCCATTTGGAAAATAGCAAGATTTTCACCAGAACCTCCCCTTAAAACGCATCTCCATTCACACACCGGAGAAAAGCCTTTCAAATGTTCGGTCTGCAACAAAAAATTTAGTCAAAGTGGAAACCGAGATAAGCATCTCCTCACACACACCGGGGAGAAGCCTTTCGAATGTTCGGTTTGCCAAAACAGGTTCGGTTTGGCTCGATCCCTTGAAATACATCTCCGTTGTCACACCGGAGAGAGGCCTTTCGAATGTTCGGTGTGCAACAAGAAGTTCAGTGAAAGCGGAAAGCTGAAAAGGCATCTCCTCTTACACACCGGGGAGAAGCCTTTCGAATGTTCGGTCTGCAAAAAGATGTTTCGTTGGGCTGGATCCTTTAAAAGACATCTCCGTCGTCACACTGGAGAGAGGCCTCTCGAATGAACGGTCTGCAATAAGAAGTTCAGGCAAAGTGGAGACCTCAGAAGGCAGTCCCCCACACACCGTTAATACGCCGTGAGCAAGACGTTTGGGCAAACCGGACCACTTCGAATGTTCACGAAAGGGTCAGTTCATGAAGTGGAAGAGTATCTCTAGAGATCCACGTGGTACTGTCGTCGAGGGACTTGAAGTTTATGATTTTAAACTGAGGCAATTTCTGTCCTCTTTTGTCTTGGGAGTTCTTTATGTTGTTGTTTGTTTATGGCGACGGATCCTTTTCAGGGTTCTTGAGTAGCACTTTCTTCACTGTTTTGCCACGGTCCATTTGAATGTTTCTAATTTCACTGATGTCATTGCCTGAGCTTTCTTATCTTTTATGATTGTAATGCGGAACTTAGTCCAGCGGTGTGGATAATTGAAACCTTATTTTTCACCATTTACAGTTGCGTTTCTTAATGTATGCATTTTTTTTTTTAAATTATGCGCATGTTGGCCTGTCTTGGCTAGCCGTGTAAATCGTTGTCCTTTTTCTTACTTTTTTAGACGCTGTACTTTTAGGAGAAAGTTGTGTCATCATCAGACTGATCTCGTGTTTGTTCAATCCCAAAAACAAATAAAAACGATGATTTTTCAATAAATTTAGGCTTTGTTGTATTCACTGCACAAAATACAGGTCAAAAAACCTAACCTAACCTTAAACCGTTTGTGGTACAGAAAAGGTGCAGACCTTCCGTACTGGCTCTCTGTGGTCCCCACAAGGATCACACGTAAACTGGTATGGAAAACGTGTACTAGGACGTCCGTGCACGGGATTAATGGTTCCTCCTGGTTTTCCTAGGAAGGCTGTGGTGAAGTATTGACGATTTTCAGGTAGTTCCTGGGAAACCCAGGAACCGTTCTTACCGTGTGGCCGGTAAAAAAAATTGATCAGACCTGTTCCGTGCAATTTCTGTACTTTGTTGTCGCAAAGTACTCTCCCTACAGCAGCGGTCTTTGCAGGTCAGTAGTTGCGCCGCGGGGTTCACTTTCCTCGCCTGTGTCGCGCCACTTCCGGTTTACTGCCGAATAAAGAAGCACCGCCATTACCATTCAGTGCGGCCGTAAACGCCGAGTATTCGCACGACAGGGTTTGATCCGCACGCGTCAAGATGGCGACCCTCCGTCGAACCGGCGTCGAAAGCCTCTCGCGCCATCAGTCTGCGTCAGTCCGGCCGATGCCCTATCACGGCCGGCTAAGTTGCCTGACTTTTGGCCGATAAGCCGCCCTGTCCCGATTCCGAAAGCCGTTCTCGCCGCTCTGTCTCTCTCGCACTCGTGGGGCGTCCCTCATAAGTGCGAGAGAGACAGAGCGACGAAAACGGCTCTCGCGGAATCAGGCTGCTGCTCGGTGTTTCCCCGGCGTGGCTGGCATCAACTTTAGACGGATGGCCTCAGACAACGAAGAACATCGACAGCATGTGGGTTGGGGTGATGTTGAAATCTTCTTAGCGTCGTTCGGGTCACACACCCTCACACTCGCGCGTGTACTTGCCCGCTCCGAGTTGCCGCCCTGCCCAGGGCGCGCCATGGGCTGCTCCACCCGACAGTCCACACCAATTTCACTCCTCCTTATAAAACAAGAAAAAGGCAGGCATTTGCCGTCCGTGGACTGGATCGCCGGAGCGTGGGTTACGACCTGCGCTTCCGGTCATAAAACTACGTCCGAAATAAGGACAGGCGAAGCGAGTGGATGGAAGAATCTGGTCGTGTGTTTGTGTGAGAGAGAGAGAGAGCCAGTTTGAGTCTTTGTGCGGTTCTCGTCGCAGTTGGGAAGATGTCGTCCAGACGCCAGGGCACACGCAGACGGACATACTCTGCAAACTGAAGTGTGCACTCAGTAACAGATGTATTTGCAAGTAGACACCTACAGATCCATATGAACTCGGCGGCACACATCTACGCACTCAGCTGAGTGAACTCCTGCACATGCGTATACTTGGATGAGTGCATACCTATAAGGCATGCATTTGTAGACACCTATGTGTGAGCTCCGCCAAGTAAGCATCTGCAGCTGTGAACTCAGCCAAGCATGCATCTATAGGTTCATACTGAGTACGAGTACACACTTCAGTTTGAATATTTTTTACCTTACAGTAACAAAAGACGTAATGAAAGAGTCACCATCATTGCCCTTTCATTGAGTGACGCACGCACCGCCGCCCAATTTTGGGTCACAATTGGTGACTTCATTTTTGGCAGTCAAAAATTCACCGCCCAAATTTGGGTATAACGGGGGTGATTGGGTTCTACGACGGTTCACACAAACTTTTTTACATACTGAAGTTTTGCCTTATGTTATTTCACATAGACGGTTTCACACAAATTTTTTCACTCAAAGTACCATTTCACATTTACAACGGTTTACACATTGTTCACACAATTTTTGTGTGAACCTATTTATTAGCAGTTCCTTGCCGATTGACTCTCCAGAAGGCGGCCCTGGAGTACAAAGACTACCGATGATTGAGGTTCTCATGGGGTAACCCGCATGGACGTCAGTCGACGTCACTTGGGCTACGAAACGCGCCTGTTGCCAAATTTCAGATGACATCCTCACCTAAAATTGGGCAACGAAGTTGCATATCACCCAAATGACGGGCGATGGGGTTGACTCATTCGTTCTTAGTGATAACCTTTACGGGACTGAGAAAACCTTACAAACTATTTTGGGCCTTACAAAGAAAAGTAGTTTGTATAACAAAGTATTTTGATCATACATAAGCTTACAAAGAAAATACTTCGTAATTTACAAACAATTTCTTCGAATAACAAAGTATGTATATTAGTTTGTTATATGTATGCTCAAAACACTTCGTAAGGTTTTAAGAGTGTGCACTTACGGCACGTGATAAGCATTGCTCTTTCGGCAGTTGACAAAACCGTGAAAAGCATTGGTTACGAAGTCCATCCATTAACACCATCCGCGTGGTGTGCCCCCATGTGCGTGAGCATCGACCCACGTGTGTGTGTTTGTGCGTGTATTTGTTTGAGATGTGAAAAGGAAAAAAAGGGGGTGGGGGTGTATTGGAGTGCGCCTCCAGGCACCAGACGCCGCCCGTTTCTTCGCCCCTCTTCGACTTCTTGCAGGGAACCGCCAGGGCAGCGCCAGGGCAGTGCGTACTTCTATATACATATATTTCCCTCGAGCGGCGCGCGGCGGAAAGCAGGCGGGCGGGATTTTCACCACTTCCCTCCTGTGGAGCAAACATTTGATCATGGCGTTTTATTTCCTGTCGTGTGGCCCTGCCTGCCGCTACACTGGTCCCCCCGGAAAAGGCGGCCGAGACATCCCGGGACATGTAACCCATGGCAACGCCGGTGGCGACGCCATGGCAGCACCGAGGAAGAAAAAATTGCGTAATAAGGGTGTAGTGCGCGCCTCGAAGCGAGACATTGCCGCGCCGCGTCACGGAGCGGGGCCGCCTCACTGTTTGCAGCCAAGGAGATGTTTCGTCGCTCTGTCTCTCTCGCACTCCTATGAGACTGCGAGGCATGCCGCCAGTGTGACAGAGGCAACGACTCATTTGAATCAGCCTGCGAAGCAGCGCGTCTTTGCGTCATTTCACCTCTACTATGCAAGAAAAACAGAAGAAGAGACTATTTGTTAAGACACAGATAAATTTCTACACAGAACTGCTCGTTGTAAGACAGAGAAAACGGAGGCTTCGCAGCCTACGAAGGAAATCGTTTGTTATACAAAGGGTATACAAAGAAAAAATCCTTCGCAGGCTGTGAAAAAGTTCTTCGTAGGCTACAAAGGATTGTTTCTTTGTAGCACTTGTATTGCACTTGTATTACAAACGATTTCCTTCGTAGACTGCGAAGCCTCTGTTTTCTTTGTAATACAACGAGCAGTTCTTTGTAGGGTTCTAAGTGTGAATATTGGAATAACCTATAAGGTATTGTGGGGGAGTTTTTTTTTTTTTTTTGGGGGGGGGCGCTTTTAGTCACACCTTTTAGAGATTCTGCATAACCGCCGCATTTCCCACTTCGGACATAATATTTTGCATAGAACACATCACTTGATAACCTTCGATTAAAAGTCAAAAAAGTTAATAGGGCTTACCAAATTAGGGGTAACTAAGGCCGCGAAATGACCTCTGAAAACCTGTAGCTGGGGCATTTATACAGGGCAGATCAAAATTTAAGAAAAACTTAAGTAACTTATTCTTTGATTTTGCCGATGCTTTATCGGTGCTCATTGTGCAATTTTAACATCCCCGTGAAAAAATAATTAGTTATACTTAGACCTTTTTTTTTCACTTCTTTACGGAGTACCAGTTATTTAGTTGTTCCTCGGGGCTGCGTGCTACGTTTCACTCGTAACCCGTTTCCGAGGGAAAATTAAATAGAGCAAACTCATCGCGAACCGTCCGAGACCTGTAGCGTCTCCCAGCGTGCTAACCAAGGCAATTGGATTGTCCTAGCCGCGCGGCCAAGTTGTTGGGTCCCCGGTCGAAGTCGAGGGGACAGACAACACCAAGTTCTTTCCTTTCTTTCGACAAATTGGATCAGTGCTAGCTGTCTCAACGCGAGGGCCCACCAGAAAGTTGTTTCAGACCGTTATATTCCACACACATGTCGACACACTAACCACAAGATGCCGAATGGGCCAAAAGTACACAAATGCAAGTGATACACACTTAAAAAAGGAATACTTGTAAGCACACACAACTGCATGCTTGGCCCCCTCACTCCGTGCTACACTGTGCGAAAAAAACACAGTGAATCCCGTTAATTTTTTTGCCAGGATTTGCTGTAGTTCAGAACACAGGATTTACTGTGCCTGGTACAGGATATTCCGTATACTCCACTCCTGTGGTACAGTGAATCCTGTACAAAGTTCAGTAGATCCTGTAAAAAAGTACAGTAAATCCTGTACTCTGAACTACAGTGACAGCTGTACTAATCACTACAGGATTTACTGTGATTTTTTCTCACAGTGTACACATATGCACTTGCATGTAAGTGTGCACTTGGTTAAGTATGCATTTGGAAGTATGTATTTGCGGTCATGTACCCATTTGAAAGTATGTACTTACTTTATGTACTATCAAAGGTATAAAAACTGTACCCTCAGGACATCAACAGTCTTTCACGCCCTTTAAGGGTGTGTTGTTTAATGCCCTGGTAAATTGGTACACAACTTTCAGGCAAAATTTTAATGTGCTTCCAACGGTGCGTCAATCGTTAACGCCCATGTAGGGCATAGCTTAAATACCTCTGATTCACCAGCAAGGCAGTTGTAAGGGGGCGTTCTTGAATTGCGTTCCGTAGTTTTGGACATTGTTTGGCCCCTCCGTCCCAACGCAGCATTACGCTGATCCAGACCCTACACCTGCCCCTCCGCAAAATTTCTCAACTATTCAGCTATGTAAGTGTGTACTTGTAGCTGCCCATAAAGTGTATATTTAGTGGACAGTTTACCTTATTGTGTGACCTTTGCGAGCTGTGATTGGTCCGGTCCTCTCGATACGGCGCTGCGTTCACAGTCTGCTGCGTTCCAATGCGGCTGGCCGGGCCACGCTCCGCCACTCCACGCGTCGTCGCAAAGTACATGGCGGTGGCGCGGCGCACC